GAATTGGTCTCGTCTCCCGAATCGCGAAGAAGACGGCGGAGCACGACGTAAGCGAAGACCCAAGCAAACGATTCAAGATCATGCGATTCAGTGTGTTCAATCGGCTTGTCGTCGATAATGGACTTCAATATTTCTCTGGCCATGAACTGTACGCTGGCCTGAGTTTGGTCGACATCAGAAGAAGCCTCGGTTGGGAAAAGGTAAATCGTACGGTCATCCGGATGCCCCACCTTGGGACACTCCACGTCGTATGCTGTGGGCCCCCAGAGACCTCCGTAACATGCAAAACTTCATCAACCCTCGCAAACTCCAAGTCCATCAAGAACCCTTCTTCGCCTGCACTGGGGTTATTCGCGGCGGATATCATGATATTCCCAGCGCTGATGTCTCGGTGGAGGATTCCCTGCGCAGCGAGCCGCTGATGACCTATTCCACAAATATCCTAAGAAGACATGTAGTAATACTGGGGAGAATCTGAGGCTTACCAACAATGGCCGCACGGAATGCTTTCAACAACTCGAGATAGCTCGCGAAATGCCACAACGGCCGCCCGATGCTCTGCAGGATCAGGCGATCTGCACGAACGATGCTACACATTATTGCTGAGCTGTAAAGCTCTGAAATGAAGTAATGGGCAACTGTGAGAGGTCTTCGCGGAAAGGTAATGTCAGCTAGGCGAGAAGTTGGCAGAACGGAATGAACAATACTTACCTAACGATCGAGAAATAGGCGCCGTTGAACTTAGAACTGGAGAAACGGGCGGCGTAGACAGTTCAATGACAAGGAACGAGGTGTAGTTACTCCTACTTCTCCTTATCCCTGCGCTGTCCCAAGCATAAGTGCAACGCCACGAATCAACTCGTCAAACCTGGGGATCTCCCTTCTAACATACCACACTCACTGGCAGAAACTACATTAGACCAGAACGAATGGCATCTTACACCAACAAACGGAGGGTATACAACTATAGACGGATGTGATAAGGTGAACTCCAGCGGCCACGACGCAGCTACTACTAGTACTAATCATTCATTGCTCTGGGGTTCGCTCACAATTGTTTGAATAGCGGCATCGATGAGCTGAATCAGGTGCGAGTGCGTCATGTTGGTTTGCGAAGGCAGAGATGCCCGGAGGGCTCTAAAGTGCGGACCAAACAAATCTGCGGCATCAACTACGTAGTTCATGGCTACTTGTGCTCCCAAAATGACCATGAAACCGGTGATTGCTTTGGGGAGAAGTCTTTCTATTCGGGTTCCTGCTATTTTGAATGGCTTCAATGCTTCACGTTGAGTCAGCACGGTGTCGAGTTTGAGAGCGCCAAATGATTGTTCGTACGACTTTTGAATAGCAATTCGATCCTCCTCCGAGAACTTTGTCTTCTTCTCACCGTCCGAATCGTGAAGTAGTCGGCGGAACACAACGTAGGCGAAGACCCAAGCGAACGATTCAAGATCGTGTGATTCAGTGTGTTCAATCGGCTTGTTTTGGACGATGGAGTCCAGGATTTCTCTGGCCATGAACTGCACGGTGCCCTGAATTTGGTCGGCATCAGTGGAAGCCTCGGTTGGGAAAAGCTAAGTTCGTACGGTCATTTGGATGCCCCGCTTCGGGGCACTCCACGTCGTATGCTGCGGACCCCCAGGGACCTTCGTAACGTGCACAATTTCATCGATCCTCGCGAACTCCAGGTCCATCAAGAACCCTTCTTCGCCCTCAGCAGGATTGTCGTCGGCGGATATCATGATGTTCCCAGCGCTGATGTCTCGGTGAAGGATTCCATAAGCAACGAGCCGCTGATGACCTGGTCCCCAAGAAATATACTAAGAACGCGCAGGCATGATGGCGAGATCTGATGCTTACCAACGATGGCCGCACGGAATGCTTTCAACAGCTCCAGATAGCTCGTGAATTGCCACAACGGCCGCCCGATGGTCTGCAGGATGAGACGATGGAGGACAGCTGTCCCAGTCCCAGGCCCAGATGGAGCGTTGGCTACAGCATTCGTCGTAACTCTGTGGAGCCATGCGCCGTACGGGTATTGACGACGCAGATTGTGCACCGATATCGGTATGTCAGTCTCACTGTCGAACCGGGCGTCGCCTCCTTGCAAAAAGCGCGCTACACCGGGGGGAGGGGCATTGAGGCTCCCATAGACGGACGCCTCTCCAGTGCGGTCGCTATTGCGCCACGCGTTCTTAAGGATCGAAAGCGGTGCATCGTCGCCGATAGTATACTTGCCAGAGTTCCAAATCAGGGGGACTACAGGCCAGATGTTCGTTCCCCGGCCGATGAGGGAGAGAGACACCCAAATGGGAGGGCCAACCGTCAACCACGCATTCTGTTCCCATTTTGCGGAAGTCACGCCATTGACCGTTGTCGAGTACTCCCGTGGGCATAGTACGACGTATGGCGGGAAGTCTGGTGATAGCCCCCGTGAGATCGCGAGCTCACGCACAGCAGCATGAAGACCAGACGAGGGGCTGAGAGGTTGAACTGTAGGGTCGCATCCGAGCTCGATATCCGAGAGGCTGACGAGTCGGCGGATCACCCTGATGAAAGTCCTGAAACCTTCACCAGCGTCGCAGAAGTCGAATATAGGAGAGAGCAAGACGCCGTCCCTGTCTAAGATACTCACCATGAACTTGCGTCCGAAGATGAGGAGGCCAACCGAGAAGAGCTGGAATGGGCGGCAAGACATGTGGAGCCGAGCGTAGTCGGCAGCCTGGCAGACGACCTCGGAGATGGGAGCATCTTCCGTAGCGAGACCTTGGCTTTCCGTCGGTTTGACTTGCACGAACCAGTCAACGTCCATCCAAGAATCGCATTCAAGAACACGGGATCCGGTTCCGTCTGGCGTGACCTTCGGAAAGCCGGTTGTATATTCTGCGCCCTTGAGCTGCATGTTCGCAGCGATCTTGATGTTCCTCGTCACTTTCAGCTCGCCTGGATGCGAGAAATTGGCAATGAAGTTACACAGATGTTGCTGAAGATGGGGTCGAATCTACAGAAGAGATAGACAATTTGTGGACTCGCAAGCAGTGGGTACATTTCCTCCTCCTCCCAGCTATACCCCTTCGCCCGTTGCGCGTCGTGGTAAACCGTTTTTGTCCGGGCTTGAGCAGCCGCTGCCACGACCTCATCCAGTTCGTCGAAGAGACCTCGATGTTGAGTTATGGATAATTCGAAACAAGACTCGACGAATTCATCAGACACCTGGTCGATTTCGAGGCGTCTGAAAACAGAGGAATCATCTTTGGAAACCTTGCCGGCTAATTCTTCACGAACGACGCTCCGCATTGTTGCTGAATTGTATAGCCCTGAGATGAAATACTTGGCAGCTGTGAGAGGTCTTCGTGGAGAGGTAATGTCGGCCATGGTGGCAGGACAAGAAGCAGGAAGTCGGCGGAACGGAATGAATGGCCTACAGGAAATAGGCGCCGTCCAACTTAACTGCGCAACGCCACGATGGCTGCCAAATATTTAAGACTGACACCTTTACACAAAGCTTTCTGACCGAATCAGTGTGTTGTACATATCAGAGGCTACAAAACAATGAACCACAGGTGTAACCCAAGAAAAATATGCTTTCATGGGCGTTAATGGTTCTGAGAGGTGTATTGTATGTTTGGGCCAATCGTGGAGGTTTGGGGGACAGCATACGCCGCCGACACATGGCTTCATTCACGAACACACAAATACATGATACACATTCGACACACTGACGAGGATGTTCCGCGACCCGTGCGTCACGGGTGGGTGTATACCATCAAGCAACGTTGCGATAATGTCGACTAGGCTCAGCCGAGCACACTAAAGCATTCTCCCTCCAGTAGCGCGTCGTGAGCCCGTACGCTCCCCGCCCCGCTCAAGTGGCTACATGGGCACTCGAACGGGACGCGCAGAGGCAATCATAAGAGGGCGAGGACGGCGGCCATGTTATGCAATCGACGTCGACGGAACGACGACAGATGGGGGGTATTCGAGTAACAGCACTGATATCCTGGCACTGAGTATATATAGAGCCGCGTAGGATCTACTTGAAACCAGCGTCGGTGAGAATGAGCATATGTATCAGATGGACGACGTACCCAATGGCAGCGAGCTATCGTGCAAGGCCCTAGGCCCTAGCCTCCGCTCCCTCTCCATCATCTGCCGCCGTCATTGGTCATCTTCGTCGCCCTCCAGTGTCACTCGCAGTCGAAAACACTGAACCAAGGCCTCGCGAAGACTGCTGCGTGTTCCAGGTTACCAACTCGATACCCTCATCGTCCCCACCAGTATTTGCGGCTCTGAGTGCTTGAAGTATTCGATATCGATCCCAAGAGTTACGAGGAAATGGGGAAGAGGGTAGTTCGAGATAGTATCACACCGGACGTGGGACGTCGAGGTCGTCGCAGCGCTGGTATACGATACTCGATATTGAAGCATATGCGCATGATGAAGCAGCGATATGACCAGCGATGATTTCGAATCGAACGGTGGGCAGAGCGAGATACAACAGAGAGGCGAGAGGCGAGAGGCGAAGGTAGGATTCAACCCGTGGGTACATCCTTCCACATGCGTCTTTCCCCTTTCCTCTTCCCCTTTCTCGTTTCCCCTTTTGATGATCGATCTCAAATCTACTTCCCGCGTCAAACACCTCTCTTCGTCTTCCGCGTGCTCATACTATTTCCCGTGCTTGTGTTCCTCCAGATATAAAGCTAGAGCCAATAAAACATCAAACGAACATAAAGAACAAACCAGAACCCAAATTCGAACTAGGTACGCCTACGTAAGATTATATATGATACAGGTGCGATACGCATTACAACCCTTTGTCAAGCTTTCTACATACTGCATCGGGGTGATGTACACATTGGATCGTAACGGTAGGATATCAAAGAACGAGCCAAGGTCTAAATGAAATTAAATTCAATAGCACTGCCTGGTACATAGTAAACCGTAAACATTTAAATTTTGGAACCTCGGATAGCAAAAGATATAATAGACTTTACTCGAAGGGGTTCCACCCAGAATCGAACTGGGGCCTCCTGCCCTACTACCGCTATACTACAAACTCAGCGTGCAGGGCAGGCGCGATGACCACTTCGCCATGAAACCGACACCTGCAAGCCCTATGCCAATCGCACCCAGGGGCTATTACCTGGGATTCCAAAATACAAACATGCTCACGCACGCCTCAGTCGACACTGCGCAGGCCCGAAGCAAACCTGGAGCAGAAGAGATCGCGGGCGGGGCGAGGATGTCGAATACGGCTAACGGATGGTGGATGCGGGTATAGAATTGCGATGGTCAATTCCAGGTATGGACAACTTGCGAGTACGGCTGCTCCTGCTTGTGCTCATGCCATGAGCATTCGAGGGCTCATACCATGGGACGAGTGGTGTGTCGAGAAACGCTGGGGACAGGATGCTGAAGAGGCAGAGAGACTGGGAGACGGAAAGGCAAGGAAACAGGGACACTGCGTCCGGGCTTGGGATGAGATGAAGAGCCGGCAAAGTCGACGCGCAGTCACAAAACGCGGAAGGCGCACAGAAAAGGTCCATAGTCTTGATCGTCGTGATTACTTGTAGTCCCACGCGATAACAGAGGCCTCTAACCGTTCCCGAGTCCCTACTCCTGGCATGCTTCTTCCCATTCCTCCCCTCGTCCCTCCACCTGGCACTCAATCCCTGTCCCATCCCAATTGCCATCCATCACGACTAAATCATTAGAAGTCCGCATCTAGTCCTTGCGTACCACCGGTTGCGCGATCGATTGGAGAAGATCGCGCCGAGATCAGAGGACGGGGAGATACAGCGCGGAGGGAAGAGGGAGCCGTCGACAGTAGTGAGAGAGGTGGCAGTCCCCCGACCTGGGATCGCGTCACGATTGAGGTAGCCACCGTGTGCGGTTCGCGGTGCGAAATCCATGGATTTCTGCAGAGAGCCCAATGCTCGGACGGCACATATTGAACCTGGAGTCCCAACGCAGCTGCTCGCCACGGTGCAACCTGCCTAAATCAGGGAGGTCGAGCGACGTCTTTGGTTTCTCGTATGGGTGCATTTGAAACGGGGTGCGTGCCGAGAGGGTGAATGTGGGCGTTGAGATTATTTGTGTGCGTCCGGGAGCTTGGGGGACACAGCGAAATACCAAACGCGGAGGCCGCCTGCGAGGCGAGCTAACACCCTCTAGCGACAATGATGAGCATATATATTGAATTATGAAAAGGATATTGGGGACGCACCTACTACTCGTAAGCGATCGCAACGAACTGCCATGTAGATTTATGGCCCTCGTCTCCACTCTCCGCAGCGACCTCATACTCCCAGTACGCGCGCATCATATATGAACCCCGTGAGTGGTGTCGCCTCCTCCCAGGGACGCACTCGTATGCGTAACGACTTCATGCTCGGACGTGCTCTTGGAGTCGTTATTATGAATCCGATGTCCAGGAGTTACGAAGGAAGAACGGGCCCTAGATATTATCACGATTCACCACTGACATCAGCGTCAACGCCGAGTTCGTCGCAGTCAGTCACTGGTACGCGATGAAGCAGTACTAGTAATGACTGGCATATATGTGTAGCAGTGGATCGAATTCGAGAATGATGAGGGGCTTCTGAGGAGATGGAGAGCCTCCAATTTGATCGCCTGAGATGTCTGGTAGTCGGGGAGAACGAGGGATGGTGGGTGCAGCGAAAGTGTCTGGCACCGTGGGTATCTCTTTCCACATGCGTCGGCTCCCTTTCTGCTCCTCTCCACCCCTATCAGCCTTGCCTCTACACGGCAAAACGCCTCCTCCTTTGAAATTGTCCAATCTCAGTTATTCAATATTCAGAGCGAAAGGTGCTGATGGTACGGCATTCTGAGTGGGCATTGACGTTGAACATTTAGAAACCGACAAGAGCACACGGTATTTCTCACCTGGAAGTCCCTACTCCCTCATCTCAAACCCCGACTCCAAACAAACAAACTCACGCGCATGCACACGGGCAACACCTACGCACTCGACAGAGCCGGAACTACGTAGGTCCAAACCAGCAGCGAGAGGAAGTCATAGCGATCCGCCAACACGCATGCGGGACCACTCATACTCACCACCGTTATCCAGTACCTAATTGCAAACTGCAACTCGGAAACCGTAAAAAGGGGAGCTAATAGGCTCGCCCTATTCTTCGCCCATGGTTCGGCTCAGACTCGAACTGGGGTGTCCTACCCCTCGAAACGGAGGATTGGGTATGCGGGTTGTTGGCTGTCCTTCGGGCGCCCCAACGGGATAGCTCCTTCGCCATCGAACCCATATCGGATATTTGATGGGTCACGGCGATAGATTGGGCACCAAGGGACTTCGCCTGCTACTGAAGACGGCGTGCCTATCTCTGGCGCGTGTTGGAGAAATGGATTGATAGCGCCGTGCAGCGTCTAGCGTCAAGTTTGTATCACAGGCGTTGCTAGTATGGGTATGCGTGAGCGGAGTGTAGTCGCTCCGCATTCGGATGATACATGGACGCTGTGGGTGCTGGCATTCGTGGTACGGCAATCTGGGAGCGGGGTCGGCGAGCGCAATCCAGCAGCACGGTGACTGGAGCGAAACGGTGTAGAGAGCTCTGACTCGCGGACCACGGGGAGGGAGGGTGGCGGAGACGCGCAGGCGTGCCGGTCGCGGGCAATAACGTCGCCACGGCGCATCCTAGACTCTGAGACCCATAGGGCATTCAAACGACGAAGGCCTCGCAGCAAGCGTTTCACTAAAAAAAGACACGTGTCAACAGTAATCTCACCCTCTCATAAACTTGATCCATGACCCCGTACAAAATCAACGCGCAATATTTCAACACCAGAAGAAGGACACACCGCGAACCACACATAAAAAAAGAGAAGTCGGATTTGGGAGCGGTTCAACCCAGAGTCGAACTTGGGACCTCCTGCCCTACTCCTCGACACCAAGTACTGGGTATGCAGGGCAGGCGCGGTAGCCGCTACGCCATCGAACTGACGCCAACCAGGTATTCATCCCATTGATGACAAAGGATGGTCAGGACTAGTGTGCCTACCACCCAGTAGCGCCGTGAGCTCGAGACGTAGTTTGAATACAGCGGGGATGGGCCGGATGGGACGGACAGTGCGTACGCCGAGGTGTTGTGGTATCGAGAAGTGCACAGTGCGGCAATGTGGAATGAGGCCTAGGGCGCGAAGGGAACACTGCGACTGAGAACATGGATACTGCACGCGCCAACGGTTCGCGGTTTGCATACATATTCATTTATAGTTGGGGACACGGTGTCTGTACAAGAAGCGACATTGAATGATGGATTCCGAGCCGGGACAGTTCGGAGGGTGGAGCCTCTGTGGTGTGACTCAGACGCGATGGGGCGACTGCTGGAGGCGAGGGCGGCGGTATTGGGTATACGGGGATGTGGGCGTGGAAGGGGAAGTGCCGAACCCTGCGTAGTGAGCTCAACAAATTTGAGCAACGGATATAATGATCTGCAACAAACCATTGGACACAATGACAAAGGCCAAATTGAGCGGACTAGCTTACGATCCGTCCCCAGTTTAACTATGTTGGTTACTTGGGACACCAAGGCTCCTCGTAGGCAGTGGGCCTCATTGGGCTAAGTCTGTCAGCTCGTGATCAGAAAAAGCGGCATTCTCAAATACACAAGACCTACGCTCGTTGGCACCCCCTGCACCCCTCTGAAGCACCATCAATGGGCCTATCGTACAGATCACCTATATACATGTCCCTTCTCATCACTATCTAGATGTTGGCAAGGAAGAAGATGTCCAAGGGCATCGGTAGGTGCATCGGTCCGTCCTCCCAAATAGGAATCTTTATAGCATTTCCAAAGCTTGGTTTCCTGCCGGGGTCAGCACAAGACTCTTCAACGGAGATTTCCTGAGTAGTTTGCAATGCATACAAATGCGACGCCGGCAGATGTGATGTTTCATTTGACGTGCTGAATCTGCCAGACACACGTTGTGGGCAGAACTCGTCGCAAGTGGTGTTGGGAAATTATCTACGGTGATAATATCAATAAGAAGTTCTGGATCCTCTAGCAACGCCATCTTGCATCCATATTCCAGAAATCCGAATTCACTTGGGTAGAAATTCCACGGTGGATTGAAATGGTAGAATGGGATTGGCTAGGCAGGAGTGCTGCTGACACGATTAGCGCTGGTTGTCATCCTTTTGGTTAAGTCCCTTGATGGGAATATCCTAAACGAGTGGGCCAAATCACGATCCCGTCTGATCACGGAAGGGTCAAGGGTAGCTGACCGTGATGTCGTACTCGCGCGTGCTCAAACACAAAGAACTTGAGTCCGCTGCCTGGAACTGCGAGTGCGACGGCGCGGAGGATTGCACGCAGGGCTATGCAGGAGGTTCTCACGAGGGACTGACTAGAAATGGACTGAGGAGCGCCAAATTCTACGGTTTTCTATCCCAGTCAACTGTGCCCTCCAGTTTCGAAAAGACCCTAATGTAGTCAGCCTCGTCGATCTGAGTTTGAATGTATAGCTGTGGAATATTCAGAAAAGGAAAGAAATCTCGCGTCCGTTGGATCTACGATTATCGAGGAATTGATTGATCGGAATTAACTGCGCCCCTTTCCCCCCCACATACTCCCACGTCCTGGATCAGCAAGATGTTAAGAGCTTGGATGTAGTGTTGGTTAAACATCCTACCGATTATCACTAAGCCTGAGAGGCAACGGTCCCTTATTTACCTCATCCAAATGTCAATATTTCAATGGTCAGTCTTGCACCCGCCATGACGCCGGCATCGCCTCGCTGAACCGAGTCAGTTTCATCGAGTGTTTATCGGCTTCTGAGTCCTGTGTATTCTCACGACTGATTACCCGCGAGTCGGTGGGCAGGTAAGCGCGGACTAGTTACAAGTCTAGTCTGAAGTCTCTGAAGAGTGCGTGGATGCTTGCGCGCAACAATGTTCTAGGTCTGGAAACATGAACCACGATTTCGGTCATCTCTACTCTCTGAACCTCGCCTGAATTAACTATCAAAGTTTCTGCACACATCTAGTTAGATTTTATCTCTACGCCCAAATTGTCAATAGTTTGAATGTCATATCTCATCGGCATGAGCGGAGTCTCAACTACTACATCAAAATCCGAGGACTTGTTCCACAAGACTATCCCATCCTTCTCTTCCCCCCTCCCTCCTTCTACACTTCTGCCCCCCTCTCGATATATGTGTACGACTGGGTATCCCCGCCAAAGGAGTAGAGAGCGAGCGCGTGAGGGCCAGAACCTTCCTCCACCACTCGTCTTGAACTTCTGGCGAGGGGATACGATCAGGGAAGTCAATGGGGGCCACGTTGGAGGCGAAAATAACATCAATTTATCTGCTAGTCTGTATACCCGATATACGCCTCACTTGAGTACTGAAATCTGATGAACCCCCATCCTACAGCGAGCAACGGCCATGGCTTTATTCATGAGCTACTTCTTGTGTTGTTTGTCATCACAATATTATTGGTGTATCTGCCCCTTCTGGCGGTAATACTGCGCTTACACGGGTACCACGCTTGAATAGCCCACCATGCGCCGGATCACATCTGTGTTCCTTTGAAGCAAAGGCGCTCACCCAAGCCTCTTAACCCCCTCCCCGAACATCACATCGATCATTGATCAGTCTTTATCAGCCTGTCTTTACATCACTGCCTCTCCTTATCACCAATCTCGTCCCGGCGAAGCCTCGACTACTTTGACTGTCCTTCACTCCGCCTCGTATCGGACCACTGCTGGCACGCAGTCCATCCCTCCACATACGGACCGGATTTCCGTCCACAAAATGCCATCTCCCCGCCGCCAACATCCTCTCAAAAGGTCCATACAGAACCATTCTATACTGTGTCACGTTGGTACATTCAATTGACATCGCGCTTGCCACCTACTGACCCGCCCTTAGTCGCTGCATTTGTTTGAATAAATATCCAAGGAATACTATGTCGTTATCACCCACGCTTTGACTCATACCAAGCCTGTCTTTGTAATCGCCCACACAATACTTCTTTTTTGCTCTGTTGTGCCTGCTCGTACCATTGGACCAATACTCCAATCGTGAACGCCTGGAATGGACGATGTTTGATTCTGCCATACCGGTGAACATAAACGACGAGCCAGAGGCCCTATGTTAAGTGTCCCTGTCAGGGAGCCACTCAGGGCTCCTGAAGAGTAGCGTATCGACTAAGAAGTAAGAAGCATCCTAGTCCTTCGAAGAAGCCCTCGCGCAACCTCATTTACCTTTCTACGAAGCTCATACATTAAGCATAAATAGGTTACACGGTACAATAAGCCCATTGTCGTCATATATAACAGCCGAAACCAGGGTTCTCGGGCCACCAGGTGGTTCGTGAATAGAGATGTTGCAGCAGTTGCCGTTGATACATGGTGTCTTGACCTCGACTCGGCCGCAGTTAGTTTGCGAAACGGCGTGCACATAGCTCCACGTGATCAGCCCAGCGAATGGATGACTCCGATGAGCGGAACGTGGCGAACAAACGAGGAAAGCACGAGTGTGGATGTAGGAGTTCTCACTCGCTGTCGATGATTGAAGAAGGGAGGGCGTCGATGTTGGACAATAGTAACCGTGCACGAAGGAAAGGAATTCCGAGGAAGCAGCATGGGGAGACTGTAGGCCGCCGTCAGAGGCGAACAACCCCATATCCTTCTCAAACCACGTTCTCGTCGCGTGCCTCACTCCCTCCACACGGCCTCAGGAACTGTGGCCCTAGTACCTCTACTGCCAGCGGCCAGCGGTGATGACGGACTGGGCCAGGGCCATGGGCTGATTTACTTGGCCACCGAACTCGTTGCGACCATCCCCAGAAACTCCTCCCTGCTCTCCATGTAATTCATAGATGGTCGGTGGAGCTGCCCTCTCCCTCTCTGTCGCCTGCACGGACAACACTTTCTGGGAAATCGAAAATCCACTTCTCGCGCCACATCCTGGCGCCCGGGCAGAAGCAAAAAGTCCCAGACAACGAGGGCCGTGAGGAAGCCGCGCCTGTGACGGAGCCAAAGATGACGAAAACGTAGAATCAGACGGTGTGCAGCACGCCGAAGGCAGGGCCGTCTCTGCGGCTGATGCGCTGAGCCCGAGTGAATCCGCTGCTGGAGGGGTGTTGGGACAAGGGCGGTGGGACAAGAGGGGAGATCGGGCGAGATTGAGGACGACTCGCTTGACGGGAGCGTGGAAGAGGAGGAGAGTGGGGGTGGTTTCGAGGGGATATGGTCGCCTTTTTCGGGGTGCCTTGACCGAACAACGATGAGGCGGGATTCTCGGGTGACCTGTCTGGAGGGTTGGCATCGTTGTTGTCATGCTTTATGGAAGGCTGCTCTGGTGAACGGAGCGGGCTATTGCAAAGGGTCATCGTAGTCGCCCACAATGGCTCAAGCGCCTCGAAGCGCAGCGACGGCAGCTGTATGCAGTTGCCTGGCGTGTGGGCTGTAGGACCGCTATGCCGGAGAAGCGTCTTCTCCAGCGCCAAGGTGCTGGGTAGCCATCGTTAGCATATGCAGAGGGCGCCATTTTGGGGTAGCGAGCCCAAGATCTCGGCTGAGATTCATGGTGGAGCCACGGTGGGGAAAGAACTTAAAAATGATTAATGGAGCCCTGGTTTCATGAGAAGTATGTGCCGTAACTTAGTGAGGCCCGGGGCCGAGGCCTTTATAATTATCTTGCAAGAACGTGCGGTGCTGCTGCTTTTACTTGTTCTCAGGCAGACTCCCTGTGACCCCGTTAGCGTTCACCTTGTTCTTGAGCTCCTGCTTGATGTCCAGTTTCAAACAGGGATCTAAACCCGAGATACATTCCGTATCTCCAAGCTAGCGTGCTATCTCGTTACAGACGAGTGGCGACGTGAAAGAAAGTGCGATCGATCCCTGCCTCAGCAAAGAACTTGGTAACCCCAAATTTCGTGACTCTCCTTCCAGCCCGTATACGTCCCCCACGGCGTGCAGCGCATCCAATA